GACCCACGAACACATGGTCCACCCGTGCAATAGTGATGCCTTTGTCCGACTCCGTGTCAATGCAAATTCCAAAGTACTTATCTGAACTCCGTGTGTCCTAGAAAAATCAATCACCATCGCACAGCTTGTGTATTTATAATTAGGAAGAATAGGCCTGAACTAGGGCATTTCTTCAATATCACCGTGCAAAGAAATGTGCGCTCAAACTTATGGGCATCATTTCATTGTGGCTATCACTCCAGCCAGAGTGTTCCACGATTCCGGCTTTTATAACTCAAAACGCATGGCGCATTCGAGTAATTATTACTGTTACCTCTGCGATTGCTGATGGGCAAGCAGCTCAACAGCCTGTTGTAGCTAAACAATCCAAAAAGGCTGGAAGAGGATGCAGTTGATTACAGACTTCATTCAGCAGACTATATCACCGTCTTCTGGCCTCCTACTGATAGAAATCGTGTCATGACCATGTCACCACGATTCGGTTTTAACCTAGATCATATCTCGTTCCTGATCACCGAACCCTCTATCCCTACAGTATGCTAGTTGATATCATAATTGTTGGAGAGACGAAAACTCTCAAAAATACATCGTGGCCCATGCAAGCCATTGCGCTGGCCAACACACTCAAAATGAGATTACGATTCTGAACACAAGGAAAATCCGTGGCGCACTCCAGAAAGAGGTTGACTAATATCTAAGGTTGTTTCGATTCCTTACTTGACCTTCTAATATAGTATTCGCCTTTCAAGATTCCTGGTGAAACTCAATTTTAATTCATACGCGAGTTGGGACTAATTTTGGTCGCGATGTCTAAAAGCGTTAGCGATTTTTTCGAGGAGTGTACAATACGAACTGAGTTTCCGAATGGAAATCGTTTCGAATTTGTTAACAAGGTCAGTACCTCTTGCGAGGGTTCACCTTCACATGAAGGACTTCACATCGGAACGTCGCCCATTGGATGAGCCTTCTATGCGCTCTACAATTTTCCATCCGTAAAGGTGCAGTTCTACGGACGAGCATGAAATAAATGAGAGACCAGGAGAATAAATGAAATACATGATGTCGCAGACAAAGGGACAGAAGAGTAGGGTGGCTGGGATCGGATATCGTTTGATCGAAACAACAAATTAAACAAACTATATTTGAAAACTTTTAAAACGAGAAAAACATAAAAAAGAAAGATGCTCCTAATGTGGAGAGTCTCAGTTTCATGCCATGTGATCGTATACAATGTGCTTCCAAAGTTCCTTGCAGCTTCGTTTGCTGCTCATTCAGTTGCTCGACTACCACCCTACTACAATATTTTACGAAATAACCCGAACCTAAGCAACTGTTGTTAAGCTATTTTAAGAGTGTCGAAGGTCCTACATACCATATTATAGCAGAAAATTGATAGACGTTTTCTAGGTGGCTTGAGCTTTACCATTTTTTTCTAAAAGACTTTTGATGCTTCTTTGTGCGAACAGCGTACAGATGGAGTTCTCAGCCAGGGTCAACCCTATCGTTGTTACTCTTTGGAAATTTTTTACGACCCCCCCCCATGGGTGATTTGATACGACCCCCTTGTATGTGACACTTGTGTAGAGACAGTGTTTACCATCAATATTTATTTCTACGTAAGTCATCAAAGATGAAACTTTAGCAAAATCCACGACAGATATTCATCGCTGCTTCCAAACACGAAAAAATGAGATGCATTCAAAGATATCCGTGTACTCCAAAGGGTTACCAAACTAGGAGATGAAATAAACTGAACCAGTGACCGGAATATTGACAATATTACCTGATAAAAACTTATGAGAAGTCAGAAAAAATTATCGCTCCAATTGAAATACTGAAATCCTTCACGTTCTTCAATTGCAACACAATTTTTACACCCCTCTTTCTAAGGCTATAACTTCCTTCATATTCGAGCTTCTGCGCCGAAGTGATTTGATTTGGAAAATTCAAATTATTCTCTCTCCAACCATGGGTAAAAATTCTTCGAAAGTTAATTTAATAAAAATTTAGTACGTTGTTACTTTTTTCTGCAGCTTAACTGCGTATAATTTACCAGAATATCACTGCAGCCACGACGAGAGTCACCCCCCCCATAGTCAAACTGAGTACGACCCCTGTGTTATCGTAACAAACGTAGGTTGCCCTGGTTCTCGGGCAGCACAATATTGTGACGCTTCCATTTTGTCGCTCTATGAGGCATTTTTCATGTCTCTACTTGCATCAAAGAAAGGAACCTTGAGTTCTGAAGAAACAGAAAGAAGCAGAAGCAGCAACGAAAACTTATCCTCCCCACTGCTCTACCCCGAGCGGGAAATCGTTGTAGAGAAAATATGTCAAATCTGCAGAACAAGATGATTTGACCGCTGAGAACCTACTCCCTTCGAGACCCCCCCCCCACCGGCCCCGGTCAGAAGTTGAATACAGTCAAAACACAATGGCTGCTCTATCACACATGTGTGCTTGAAGGGAGAAAACACTTTGTGAAGCCTCATAAGCGTCGACGGTAGGCAAAGAAGAAATTTTCAAGTGTTTCTAAACGAAAGATAAAGTGGTAAAGAATGAAATAAAGAAAAAGTAAACGAGATAAAAGGAAGAAAACACTGCAAAACAGCCACCACCTTTATGGGTGCTAACTTGTTGAGGGAAGGGGGGGGCAACCGCTATCGCGGAGCGCGCATGTCCACGTTCTTCGGCGTTAAGCGAGAAATCTGTGGGTCAGGGAAAGTCTATTCAACTCACGGGAGATAAGGCGAGTCAGCTGATACGAATCAAAAGCTGAAAGGTGCGAATTTACACTTTCTCGCTGAAAGGACGCGGACATACCCCGCGCCGCGGCGGCAAAGCCCCGCCCCCAAAACAAGTTAGCATCTTTTCACACGAATAATCGTGAAATATCAGCGCACACAATCAATACGCATCTCATAACGATCGCCGTAGCAGGACTGGTTCGGATCAACGCACATGGAAGCATTTTTCACTGAATTCACCTGAGTGACTACTCCAAGAGAGCGAGAAAAACGCTTAGGCTGGTGTCAGAGTCCGCGATCCGTCGCAGGTTTCGCTGATTTTCGCGATTTGCGCGATTGCGACGGATCGCAAAAATTGCAAGTGTGTGAACATTTGAAACACTGAATATGAAACAAGTGGAATCATGAGCAGTCGTCATTCAGCCATCACTATCAAGCAGAAGTGGCGGCAGGATTGGAGAACACCTTGCAGTATTGATCGGGCACTTGTGATTTCCGTGACCCGTCGCGTGAATCGCGCAAATCGCGTGAATCGCGCAAATCGCGAAAATCGCGAAAATCAGCGAAACCTGCGACGGATTGCGGACTCTGACACCAGCCCAAGGAAAAGCTTTCTTTGTTAGATAAGCGATACTGTATTTGCATCAAGGTCATGGCACAACGACACTATATCAAGATACAGTATCCTCTATACTAGCATTAGGGGATACCTGTTATTCTCAATACTAACTCTTAAGGGCCGCGTTATGTCAGACTTTGCGAATCGCGCGATTCGCTACTAGCGATTCGCGCGTTCGCTCGCGTCCGCGGTCCAGCCAATTGAGTGATTCACTGGCCGCGACGCGACCGCAGACGCTAGCGAATCGCGCGATTCGCAAAGTCTGACATCGGCCTAATAAAGTACGGTGTTCGCCAAATTTAGGATGCAGTAAGAAGACTGGATATCGATTTTACGCGCGTAAAATCAATACCGTTCGACAAAAGCGCGTGCTGAACAGTACCAGCTGGGTCGAGAAAGTGTACCAACTTCGAGACTAGGCGGATTCTCAAAGGAGAAGCAGCAAGATGTCAGCGTTCTCTAACTATGCGCACATACGCAACAACGGAGCGGATCGTATGGATCAGCCGAGCTGGCCGCTTTCTGAGGTCCATACGGCGACGGACCGGTCCGCGTCATCCAGGTGGCAAACCGTGAATGACGACCGTGTCCATCCGCACCTGACCTCGAGTACATTATCGATGGAATCCCAAGAAGGAACACAGCAAGCGCAAATGTCTTCGCGTCAACCCACGTGACCAACCAAACACTGGCGAGTGGTGGCTTGGGACACGTGCCCGGAAACGCTGGCCGTCAACTGCTACGGGAGATAGGCGAATCGGATTCTGAAACCAACGATATGGGAGTTGTGGGAGCGGTGGAGGTGGTCGGCCACCAAGCGAGAGCGATGAGAAGTAGTGTGTCGGGCAGTTAGAGAGCATCGCCTCGACAGAGGGTGCAGAGAAACGAGCAGGCACGTCGGTCAGAGACGAAGAGAAGGCTGGCAGGGACGCCGTTTTCGCGTGCCTCTCCGTGAGGCACTGTATCGTCCGATTTCGTTTCTTACGAGGATTTCTTATCTTCGGGTATCTCTCGTATCTTCCCTTATCATATTTATCGCAGGTGTTGTAGAAATCCGTTCGAATACTCGTCTAATATCGGTCTTTTCTGGACTTTCGTCTATTTGAGTCGAAATCTCTTGAGCGCAGTTATCTGATGAAATGCACATGTTTGGCTTTTGGAATACGTACACGATTGTTTGATTTGATATTATGAATGTTGATCTCGTTTCTGGTCGTACTCGATGGAGAAAAACTTGAAAATCTGTTTTTCGCATTTTGACGTCATTCTCAGGAAAATTTTCCGAAATGTTCCCTTTTCGTTGATTTCTCATTCGCACGTAGTGATGCCCATTGTTCCCTAATACACAGTGAGGAGACATTTTCATCATTGGACTTTTCCGTTGCGTCATAATCCTTATCAATTGTCCACAATTGTTTCACGAATTATCACCGTCCGTTCACATTGTGAGATATTTCCGGAACGGTTTTTTGAGCGCAGATTTTCGCCCAGTCCGATGCGTTTCGTCTCTCCGTGGCCTCCTGAAACCGCGCGTCCGCTACTGGTTTCATGGCAAGATCTACGTCCACTCTTTTTTCAGTGAGTACTTGATCAGGCTGTCGCGTCGGCCGCTGCGCGTTCTCTCGAACCAATTCATGCCGGCGTCTGCTGCTACGCCGGCACCGTCTAAACCATCGAAAGTCAGCCTTAAACTGAACAACGACGCTACGAGTACAAGGGAATTATATGATGATGCCGACAGGCCAAGCACATCGTCAGCGTCAGCGTCAGCCACAACGGCCACGAATCCCACGACGAATCGTCCGAAGAAGAGTAAAGCGGCGCGATTAGCCGAAGCTTTGGAGATGCTTAACGAGTTTGACAGAAGGTAGGTTGAGAGTTTCTATTCATGTTCTGTTTCTAAAGCAAGCATTAAAGAACTCACAGTTTGCACCTAACACTTATGACTCATTGAGGCATGCTTGCTGTTGTCAGGGCGAATTTCCTGCAAAAGCGTGGGTGCCCGTTTGCATTACCTCTCTGCGTAGTGTATCTGTTTCAAATATATGACTATTTCCACATACCCTATTCAAACTGAGTTGGGTGTACTGCTTTCGTTCTTCCTCAGGAAGGTCTATTTTACTTCGAAAATGTGCAGCGTTCTATTTAAACATTTTTGTTAATTTTTCAACACTTTTTCTCCGCAAATCGGAAGGCTGTATTCGATTGTGGGATTTTAGTCATCAGAAAATGATCAAATTGTCTTCATTTCAAAGCAAAGGTGTTTGATAAATCTAATTCCGAATTCTGCGAAAACAGTGTGGCCAATTTTTATGTGAGTATTTGCTAGAATCCTAGTCTTGTTAAGACATTAAAACATCAACACAAATTCGCTGTTTCAATTCTTTTTTTTTCTGTGTCAGCATTGCTGATTGTGAGGACCACTTCACTTCCTTGTAAACATTAAGAATGGCAACTGGACAACCAGTTCCTTTTTTTCTGAAACATCGTCTTCTGAATGTGAGGAATTCTCATGATATTCACTGACGTTCAATTTATTGCATATCTTGATCAAGACCTGATGTCTATTTTTTCAGCGCTCAGCACAACTACCGTCAAAATATTGTCGAAACTCAAAATAAACTATTGGAACGAATAGACTGTCTAATCACCTCACTAGCGGCACTATCTCCTGGTACCTCTTCTGAGCCTGAGCCAACGGGTCGAATAGAACAACGGCGTGAGACAAGCAACTTGGTGGGTGGTCTTCTTCTGCTTCCGGCATGATTTGTACTTTTCTTCGTTAAATAGATTACTTTTACTTTTTGTTACAGCTGAACAATCATTTGATATGCTTTCAAAATGCGGCATTTGCGGCACGAGATCTTGCTGCACAGCAGGCTGCTGTGGTTTTCGAAAAGATAAATAAGCATCGACCTGAAGAAGTCAAAGGTAAGTTTTTAGTTTTTCATCAATGCAAGTTTTTTTTTTTTTTTTCTTGAGGGATTAAGCAAACTGCGGCTAATCTTTCGCGACTTTCATTTGAATTCAAAGTATTTATTTATTTATTTATTTATTTACTATTGCACTCAAGGTGCGCCTAAGACAATCGGCGTGCGTATAAATACAAAGTTGACTGCTAGAAAAATTCAACACACGCCTAGATTAGCGACCTAACTATGCAGAATGTGTCCGTAGAAAATAATGAATTTGTCAGCATTGGCGACCCTTGAAAATGAACGTGAAATGAGAAGCTCCTCAAAGAATTCACCACTACCTACATATAAATGAAGAATAATAATAGATTGGTCTTATATCGCATAGGTTGATAATGAAGTAGAGCGTGGTCGGTCTGGGCAACGCAACTAACATGGGTTATTTCCGACACTTGCAGATACTTTCTACACGTGAAGTGTTTCACAGCGCTCTTCATCCTGCTGATTTTTTTCTTTCAGTTCACGTAAAAAAAACAAGGTGCAATGAAATAAGAGGAGGCTTGTCTTCGGCACAGAAACGTTTGAGTGTGACCAAGTGAGTGCGGTCAAAACTTGTGGGCGACAATTGCGCGAATTCATGTAAAAAAGAAAGATGAAGGCTGACTCAGAGCAGTTGATTCATTGAGACGCGTGAGTATGTTGATTACAATGGACTTAGGGCACTTTTGGGGCAGCAGCATTTGCGGAACGAACAACGAGGCATAGGGGAGAAATGAGGTGGTGAAGGAATAACAGAAAAAGTTTTCATAGATGGCATAGTCGGTAGGGAAGTTATACACTAGGTTCACAATGAATTTCACTCTTCAAGTTCTCTTGGCGCTAGTCGTGAAAACGGTTGATAAGTACGTGAAAGTCACTTCACTAGGGAGCTGCATAAACTCGAGTTAATACTGAACGTCTGAGCGCTAGGATATGCATGTTTTTGGAAAAATCCCACGTGTGTAAAAATTTATCAGGAGTGGTATAGCTTACTGCAGTTGTGCGTCAAGGCAATTATCGAATCAAAGCGACTCGCTTCCTTAACATTCTTTTGATAGGAGGCTAACTAGGACCTTTCCACCACGATTTACCTGCTCTTCCAACTTCAACTCATTGGTTTTCGCGAACTGCTACTTTCGAGAGCAGTAATAACAACAGTGAAATTTTTGGATATTTCTGGAATCCTCTGAAAACTCCTCTCCAAAATGTTCTGTAGGCCCCATCATTGTGGCCTTCTTTCAGAAAATCGGTTTTGATAGCATAAGTTCCCAAATGTGATATAAGAGTAAAGCAAATGAATCAGTGGATTGAGTGATATGGCTGATTTTATTTCAGAACGCTTCCATTGGTCGCTACTACTTGACCGAATTAATTTTTTCACCCTCACTTCAATCGTTTTTACGTTTTATGCCACATTCCACAATTCAGAAATAATTAATTGCATCATCAATGACTGTTTAGTAAAACGTGGGAAAACAACAAAGAAAGAGCGCAAAGAAAAGGAGGTGCCGTCGTCATCCAAATCCGATCGAACTAGTCAGCGAGAGAAGGTTCCACCTGCAAAAGTATGTTCATATTTAGGATTATTTTTCTACTATTTGCAAAGTTCATCGGAATATTAGCGTAGAATTTAATGGCTTTCTTTCTGAATTTGCGTTTAATTTTTTCTCTGTCTTTTATTTTATTTTTATTGGAACGCTTAATGTACATTTGTTGTGTTCCTCAGAGGTATAATCAGGTCTTTTTCTCGATCAGAACTTTTAATATTGCCCACCAACTTTCAACTCATTCAACCCCGGTAAAAACGGAAAGATAATATTTGTGTTGAAATGGATGCGTATTCGTGGGCGAATGTAGAATTGTCTCTCCTTGGGTTTTATGCAGAAGGCCCGAAATTGTTTTCATGTGCTGAGAAGTATTCAGTGACAGATTGTTCTGAACGTTGTAGCTTAGGAAAGTTTCTACTAGAGTTAATACCTGTTATGGACAATTTTTTTGAAATGTTCTTGACTCAACCCTTAGGTAAGTGACCTTGTGTCGAGAGAAATATTGGTTCGAGGATATTTTACCGTTCTAGTGCACTGCTTTACTCAAGGCTTTTTTTTGAAAGAAGTGCACTATTTACGGCAAGTAAGAGATGAAATTTTTCGAGCCCTTTTCATGCATAGGAACACTGCAATTATTTTTGCATAAAATCACACAGGGGGGGAGGATGCTAGTTAAATTAATTAACCCATTTTAAACGTCGCTATTACAGCTTGAATTTTAAACTAAAAGCCCTCCTGTGCTGCTAATGAAAAAAAGAGATGGGGGATGGGAACATTGCTCAGGTCTTATTTACGAAGGTGTATGTCTTGCAAAAGCACATCGAGCTCAATGTATTTTCTTGCGGCCATTCCTAGCGTATTTACCAATTGTGGAGATAGCAAGCCTGTGCGTGAGTTTGTTCCATTGGCCCGAGATTTGTGTTGTTTAAAAAGTAACTGACAATTCTTCGAAAACAGTTGGCCGAAGGTTAAGAACGCCACCGCGGTCACACTTTCGTAATAAAGCTATTGTGGCATGCAATGGCTAAAGCTGAATTCATGCGGACGAATAACGTTGTTTTCTACCTTATTCCACCGACCGTAGATTAAGATCTCGTTGCTACTTGCGGATCGCGGTGCAAGTACAGCAGCGAAGAATCTCTCAATTGCTCGCCTCACATTCATAGCAATAGGTTGTGAGCCAAGTGTTAGCGCATGTAGCTACATGCGCATCATTTAATAGGAAGGAAGGACAGATTTGGTTAGACGCTCAAGTTTGAAGTCGAGAATGGATAATGTATGCGTTTAGGTAGTATTTAAAATTGTGAGGAGTGCCATAATATTTTTTATACCTTTTCAAGCAAAAATGAAAAACAGAAGTGTTTTTGTTACGCGTCTTTTGTGGACAAAAAAAAAGATATCGATTAATCTTAGAAAACAATATCCGAAGCCACGCAGTATGGGCTGCTTGCTTTCCAAATGGTGGAATCAGAGTCTTCTTTTTTTTTTAGCCTAAGAGCGTTCATTTTGTGACATTTGAACTGTGTCTCCTGACACTCCTGACAACTTCTATTATTTGGATGCTATCTGCATTTTTACTTCTTTTTTATTGTGTCAATGTGGGTCAGATGTTCCTTCTAGATGATGTAGAAGAAGCGAAATCTTCTCCTTATCAATTCTATTCTATTTAAAAAAGGGTCAAGATTCGTGCTCTTATTGCTTCTGTTATCTTTGAATATCTGCTCGTTTTGGAGCTATAGAGCCTTCATTGTTCATTTCTTCAATCTTCAAGCATGGTCACGTGACAATGGATAATTAGTAAGTTCAGGACTTGAGCAATATGATTTGTTTAGGCCCAGCCGCAAACTCAGCCCAACCAGGTTGATGCCGTTCCGGAAACTCCTGTCACGACAAATAATCGAGTGGCAAAGAAGCGAGGTGCAGCGCAAACGCCGACGTCGACACCTACGGAGAAGAAGGTGCGTTGAAGCCATGTTTTTTATACTCGTCTTGTTTGATTTCTTTCTCCTTCAGACGAAGAAAGAGAATGGTGTAAAGAAAAGGACAAGTAACAGGCTCAGCAAAACTCCTCGAGTAAAAGCAAAGGAAGAGGACGAGCCTACGTACTGTTTCTGTAGTAGAGTGAGTTTGTTTCAGCACGGTCGATGCATAAGCTGCGAAATCGATGTGAGTGTTATATGAGTTGTTTAGATATCGTTTGGCGAGATGATTGGATGTGACAACGACAAATGCGAAATCGAATGGTTTCATTTTGAGTGTATCGGCCTTACTACAAAACCAAAAGGCAAATGGTTTTGTCCAAATTGCCGACATCCAGATAGTGCTCGCATGCCGAAAGCGTCTCGAGCTATAAACGCCAATAATCGGAATAATGCAGCGGTTGAAAAAGTCTAGTCTTATGTTTTACCATTCACAGTACTTGATTTCAGTCCTTTCGTACGTTTCAATTTTTAACACTAACGTCAGCATCTGAACTTTCAGCACGTCTTATGAATTTCTAACACAACGGTTTGTGAAATATTCTACCTGCATTTATTGCTCCCCTGTTTCTTACATTCATAGTTCGTTTTCTACGTTTATAATGTTCTCACTTGTAGACCTTGTGCCTACATTTCGTTCACTCAGAGAGGCCAGAATTCAGATAGCTCTTTACGATCTAAGTTTGTAACAGAGTTTCTTTTCGGCAGTCCATTCGATTCAGCATCAAATCTCAAACCTCCTAGTTACCAAAACTAATTTCGTGTGATTTGCTCCTGATCTCTGGTGTCATCGATTAACGATTGTTCATCAAGTGGTTAAGGCTGTCTAGACTTTACCAGATTATGTCGAGCAGACATAACTAGAAATTGCAGCTAGATATCATACCAATTATCTATCCTTGAGATGACTTACAGCGCTGGTAACGTTCACAGCTTCATAACCTGTTGTCGTTAATGGTTACTTAAACGTCAAAGGTTCTTTGGAATGCATAGCAAACACTTAGGAACGTGTTCTCGGTGGGAAAGTATGGGAAAACAGGTAGAACGGGAACGGAAGATTCATTAGAACAACGACATCCAAAACCTTGCTAAGTTGTCTTTTGCTGCTTTTTTCTGGGTGGTCGTGTCTTATCTGCATTTTCTTTGCTTTTTTTATTGCGGAAGCTTCCTGAGAAATTGTGTAGAAAAGCTCTCAACTTGAAGTGCATCTTTCATTCAGTCTTCTTAGGGCTTTCAAGAGAATTAAACAGGTTATGAAGGTGTCACCGTTCGTGCCTTGCGCTGAAATGCTGGTCTCATCAGGGAGGATATCGTGCTATAATGTTCTCGACATCTGCATTTCCACATTACCGGTTCATAATAGAATCTTCTCTGGGCTCTGAGGATCCATATTGTCTTCACCCGCAACCGTTCTAACCTCTTGCGTTGTAATCTTCATAGATGTGATATGCTAACCGTTCGAGCGGATCAAATTTTCCTCAGTGGATCTCCTATGACTATGGTAGATGATATAGGCTAACTATTGCTTGTGAATAGTTATGATTTTACATGATAAACATGAAAATAAAGTATTTCAATTGTCATCCATGCTATGTTTAAATATTTTAGTGGTATGTCCAAGTAAATATAGCCAATATTTTCAAATCACAATTTGATTACGTACTTTCACTTGTACAAATTAGATGGCATCATCGAATATTAATAAACAAGACGGTGGCGACACTCGTATAAGGACTACTCAAGGTCGGTGAAACTGCTGAGTTTCTCGATAACTTCAGTTGATAGTCCCCACATTGAAATTGTGCTTGCGAGGTAAATTGAGCTATGTTCGATTTAGATTGTGTATGTCAGTTCCGTGCATCATTTGCGGCTACGCAAAGAAGAGGACATGGCGGAAAGCCGTCGTGTGCAAGATGGGTATGTCATAAGTGACATTAATTTTTTTTTTTTTTTTGGAGAAAATGTTGAGCATTGCATTTCGTGTGAGGAGGAAAAAGAAGAGGAAAATTTGTATTTCCAACCACGTACCTCGTTATATGAATGGCACTTGGCCGGCACGTGCAGCAATTTCGAATTTTTATTTTGCCTCTTTTAGAATGTGTGGAATTCCATCGGAGTAGCACAGCATTGTTCAAGTCTGGCATTTTATTAGCCTATGCGGATTTCCTTAACAATCATTCAGTTCTAGTTTCAATTTTTGGCACAATTCAGTTTTTTCAACCCCAGAATCACTGAATTCTGTCAAACTCTGTGGGGAGGGGTTATTGAATTAGTTTATCATGTGCATTAAAAGTTTTAGCGCTGACGAAATTTGCCGCCATATTTTCCCCCAAATTTGTTTTGGAAATGATGTAGGAGTAATTCAGTGTTCTAAATATGACAATAAAATTTAACGCCAATTTAGCGTTAACGCGGTGCCAAATCGGTGATGAACTGCTCCAAAAAAGCATGTCATGTTCGTGTTAGAGGCAACAATTTACTCCCAGATGTAATTTCTGAGCAAATTTTGTGAAAAGTTGCACCAAAATGGCGCACGACGCCAAATGGAGTTCTCGCCAAAGATAATTCATATTTATTATAAATGTGCGTAATCGTCTTTATAGACGAGCTTTCGGTGGAACGTTTTTCGTGAGACTTTGTGATTGTAATGGTTGATTAAAAAGTGCCTAGTTTTCAAATGATTCAACTGAATAATTGAAACTGTGTATAATTAGACTGAAAACTAGGGTTCTCGGTTATGGGCGCAACTTTGCTCAGCCGGGATTGAACCCGAACCCCCTTGCTTGTAGGGCACGTGTACTGCCATTACTTCTGCCACGGCAGTGCAGTGGTTAATGGTAGTGCTTTTTCCAGGTGAGCAAGAAACAAGGGGATCCGGGTTCAATTCCAAACGATGAGTGTTTTGCTGTACAAATTAGCACAAGTCAGCGTCCTTGTTATAACGTTCTCATTGCGAACTTCGGCGAAAAAACAGCAGTTAACAAGAAAAGGAAGACAACTGTGTTATGGAGCAAGTGTTTTTTTTTTCACATCGGTGACCCTATGTGTGTTATTTATATGGAACGTTAATCCCTGTAACAATGAACTCTTATAAATTCACTGTATTCGATTTCTTTGAAACTGCTTCAGATCTCGAAAAATCCAAAAAAGAATGCAAACCCCTGAAATAACTTTTTTG